TATCTTAAAATACTTTGTCTATAAATATCATAAAACAAAGTAGTATTTATTATTTTAATAAGCGCTGAATATCCGAAGATAAGGTCAAGTCCATTCAAGTGTCATATGTGATAAACTCTCGGGCGATCATTTCTATTTCGATACATGACTGACGAGGCAGAAGATTTTCTCATAGTAACCGTATCTTTCTGCGGTAGACTAGTTACCAACTAAAGCTATAGAACCCAGTCTGTAGTTTTATTCAACCCATAACTAAATATGGAGATAAGAATGTTTAAGAAAAAATAACTTGTTACAATATACTTGTTACAGAGTATTGCAATAAACTTGTTACAATTTGTCACAATATACTAGTTACAAATTGTTACAATATACTTGTTACAACGAAAAAATTAGACGCGTGTTACAAAATAAATAAAACAGACGATGAAGTAAAGACGAAGAGAATATTATTGATAATATTGATTTGGAATGGCATCCGAAAAGTTACAAATCAATTTAATATATCCACGAATTTTAAACAAGATTAATTAATTGATTAACATCATCTGATTTTATTTATAATGATTTTTTAATTTTACTAAAACCAAATATAAATATCACAAATTGAATTATTTTAGTATTAATCGAAAAAGAATGGCGGTTAAAGAAACGATCTTACAAGTCACTGGGAATAATGTCCGAAAGGATGCTTAAATGTTTTAATCCCGACAAAGAATTCCTTTTCAAAATATATAGATATTTGGTCAACCTGTAAAATTTTAGGACGTGGATCGGACTGAGATATGTTATATACTTTTGTGAAATAAGTTTATTCTTGTGAGTTTGTCCGTTTAATAGGAAGAGGTTTCATTTTTCATTTTAACATTAATTTCTTTTCTAAAATCTTTTCCTTCATTCAGATATAAATAATTAGCGCAAAATTTCAGAACGAAGTAAAACAATAATTGACTAGCAAAGAAAAAGGTTTTCTAAAAAAAATGAGAGAAAAAGAAACGCAAAAGAAATTGATAAAAGATAGAAGAAAGAAAACAAATTGCACAATTTTAGAAAGGAATCTAATAAAAAGAAAAAGAACTACGTTGACAGTGAAATGAATAATGTGAGGTCAAAAAGGTACAAACATCTAACACGCAATGAAGTTAATGGAAACGTTCTCTCAGCCATATAAGGTAAAATTAGTTAAAAATCAGATAAAAAAAATTATATATATATATATATATATATATATATATATATATATATATATATATATATATCAAGTATGGTGCAGTTCAATTTACATTACATGAATCATTCATACAAAAAACAGATATAGAAGTTAATGATTTAAATGGCGAGAATACATCTTCGCAAACAAATTTAATAAAGTACATTAACCCCGAACCTGTATAGGAATGTTATGATCCCTGTTTATAAATTTCAGTTGCATAAGGTCTTTTTTAGTTTTTTTACAAGCTTTCGTCTGTTCATACAGACATCATCAGGTATGGAAATAGACAACGAAAATATAGATTTAATCCGAAAAATGTTTTTAAATTTTAAGATTTTAAATTCAACCCCAGCGATCAACCTCACGCTCCAAAAAAATTTCTTGCAATTAATAACACATTTCTAAAAATTTTTCGAATTACATCTATATTTTCGTTGTCCTGTTATTATCGAGAAGTAAAAAAAAAAAACAAATCTATTTCCATGCAGATAGATAGATAGATAGATAGATAGATAGATAGATAGATAGATAGATAGATATGTAAAGAACAGGGGTGAAAAACTTATTAAGTGAATGGAAGTAGAAAGAAAGAAAGAAAGAAAGAAAGAAAGAAAGAACAAACAGAATTAGTTGCCCTTTATTTTTGCGAACAATCGTTGAAATCATTAGTTTGTAAATTCTTCATTTTACTAAACATGATTTGATGGGAATTGATGCCAGTTATAGAAGAAAGAAAAACACTGATTTCGTATTTCATAATCAAATAGCAATGCTCATGTTGATGAAAAAACTTTAGGGTAAAGCGAAGATGTATTGACTAATGAATGCAACATTCTCTATTGAGCAAAAGAAAACGGCTATAAAATGAGGTAAACAAAAAACTAACATGATCAAATCATGAGGAGGAAAAAATCCTGTTTACTGGACAAATAATTCAGTGCATCAACCAATCGATATGTGTTAAGGGTAAAATTGATTAGGAATCTGAAGCAAACGTCTTGGAGTCGGTTTAATATCTTCTTCAAATTGAATCGAGGAATTAATGGATACAAACCCGAGGGAATTAGTGAGAGTTGGTGTATTGTACAATCCGTAATAATGATTTTTTTTTCTTTTTAAGCCACTTTCATTCTTATAATTCTATCGTGCAACTGCTATTTAATGAGAGAAAATAATTTCGTTAGTAGATAATATATTTAACAGCCATTGTAGAACCATGTCATAGATGGCTTTGTGATCCAAGACGCTGCAAATTATGCAAGACAATGATTAATTTTACTTCAGGATTAAAAAATTTCTTTCTCTGCTTTTATCGACAGATAGAAAAGTAAAATTTCATAAACAGTTACGTAAATGTTGTAGTATCAAGCGTGACAGTTAACGCTGCCGACAAAAAAAGGCTTCGAAATATGAGGTGGGCTGTTTATTCCATACAAATCACCTAAAGCAACATGCATGATCTCTTTTTTCTCTAGAATCCATGAAATTATTTATTTTTCCGGTTGGAATATCAGTCCCTTTTACAAAAATAAAAGAACATATGCTATATTTATAGGGAAAAGTGATCACTATCAAAGTTAGAGAGTTTATGTGAACAGTGTGGACATATGAATGAACTTTTATGGTGACTGTTAGTTTCACTCTTGAACCAAGTTCCATTACACATTTAGCGGGTTATTTATATAGGTCACTAAGGGATAGAGAGAACTAGTCCTTCCATGTTCTGTTGTTTAGGACAAATACTTAAAGTCACTTATGGTCATCACTTTAAAAAAATTTTATCAGTAGTTGAAGGTATACAATTGCGTTCAAAACATACTTAGCTGAAGCCATAAAATTGGATTTAAAATATTTAGATTTCGGTATAAAATAAGCCACAGATGAACAAAATCAACCAACCAACCGTTTATATACTTCCATTTTATTTGTTTTGTATATTTTTCTTTCATGTATTTTCATTTGGTTTTAAGTTTTAGTGTTTTGAATAAAACTCGTTATGGAATTTTATGTAGTCTTTTTGGCCACGCTGTGGTTGTAGGTAGCGTAATAGGATTCGTTTTTGAGTTTGAATTTGGAAATTTATTCGTTTTCTTTTTTGAAGTCTATCTTGCTTTGAAAGCCAATTATTGCTACTGTCTTCTCTAAGCAAAGTCTGATTTGTTTTAACTGTTTTTAACAATATCCTAACACTAATTTTATGCTGCTTCCTTTGAATTAGTACCAGGTGTTAGATTAATATTTTTTTTAAATAGTCAGGATGCATAGTAGATCAATGGATAACATTTTAAATTGGGGAATCGGAGGGCCGAGTTCGAATTCCAGTTGAGTTCATTACATTCACTTACGTGATAAAAACCTTAGGAAATATATGATTCCATCTCTCTTCCATATAGCTATGGGGAAATAACAGGACAGACTGAGTTCTATAGCCTTGGGTGGCAACTGAGTAAGAGGAAGGAAACCTCTGAATTCATCATCGTATGGAGTCCTGGTGAAGTACATATTATGCAGCTAAGGAAAGTATCATTTACATTGACTCTATGATCCCTACTACGGTTGACTCCTTTAATAATCAAATTCTATAGGCATTCTGGCTAAAACATTGTGTGTATATGTGCGCGCGCGTGTCTGTGTGTTCATTTATTCTTTTGTAGATACACAGATACTGACTAAGCTTAGATTACAACAGCATTGGGTAAGTAACTGAAAATGTAAGAAAAGGTCTGTTATTATGCCAAACATCCAATTAAGGACTATCTTCATGGCTAGTATTTAGCATTCAAAATCTTGATATTTATCGTCCCTCGGCCGCTGCCGGTTGGAAATACGCAATCCTTTCAACCTCGATATATAGATAAATACACATAATTCTTTAAATACTTAATTTATATCAGTGTTTTGCGTCTCACACTCGTGTAGCAGATTCGATAATTTTAATTTCACATTTTTAAAAGAATGAACGAATGATGTAAGACTGAACGAAGTATGCGGTTTCTTTTTCAGTAAAATATGAATTACTTGCTTTGCTTTCATTCGACTATGTGTAAAATTGATGAGATACTGAAGATAAGCTGTTCTATTGAATATATTGCAACTTCCTCCACTTGGGTAGTTTTACTGGTATTTGGGGATAGTAAAAAGGCCAGAGGGCAATGTAATGCAGCTCATTCAACCTGATTCAGGATAAAATAAGCAATATGAAAAATAAAGTAAAAGTATGTTAGTCATCTAAACGCGAAGATTAAACATCAGTGTGGAGTAATGGATAGCGGCTCGGTTTGAGGAATCTGTTGAGCCGAGTTCGAATTCCAGTCGAATCCATGACATTCACTTACGTGCTAATACCCTTGAGAAAGGTATGAATCCTCTTCTCCTCCCAGCTATGGGTAAATAGCAAGACAGACCGAGATCGCAACTGATTTACCGCAGAAAGAAATAGCAACCTACAGCAGAAAAACAAATCTGTCTCGTCAGTCATGTATCGGAAGATGCATGATCGCCTAAGCGTGTATCACGCATGGCACATAACTGACTAACGGTCTAAGACGACCAGGGAAAACGTGTTTTCAATAAAGATCGGTATTTGAATTTTCAATCTTGATTCGAATGCTTACTAGTAGAGACGTAGTTAAAGGCTTTAAGTTAGAGCTTTGAAATTTGGGAGGAGTTTTCTCGTGCGCGCATGTTTTTCGTAAAAGTTTGATGGATGAGAGAAGTCCGTTTGAAATACGTTCTATTTTCCAAGGAGTAATCTCTGTACCGCAGATTATATATCTACTTCTGGTGCATGTCTTGTCAGGCTAAAGCCCACAATAACAGACCGTTTTCTATCGACCGGTCCAAGTGGCCAGAGGGAGGTCAGCGGCTCTCAACGGCCATCTTCGTTAGTATTGGCATCTGGCGTCCATTATCCCGCTGAGTAGCAAAATTTCATTAGGTCACGTGACTAATGTAATATGGACGTCCAGCAATGTCGACATTTGCCCAGACGACAGTATCAACGATGGTTATCACTCAATTGCTGGTCATTATTAATTGTTAGCCTTTCTTCTTCTTCTTCTTCTTCTTCTTTAATGATTCTTTCTTTCATCCGTCTTTACCTCCTTTATATATTTCTATTTCCCTTCTATCTTGTTTTGCTCATTCTTCTTTTCATTCTTAATCTTATTATCTTCTTTATTTTTTATTACATTATTTTTCACATGTTCTTTCCTTTCCTCTATAGACTTCTTATTTTTAACCTTTCCTTATTTTTCCTCTTCTTCGTCTTTTCTTTATTCTTCATTGTCTTTTCATTCTTGTTCTTACTTTTATTGTCTTACTATCATTTCGCATTATTTTTTTCTCTATTTTCTGTTTTTCTACATCTTTCCAGGACATGACAGAAAATTGTGAAACCAAAATTTTCAGTAAGATTTTGTTTATTCTTTTTTTATATATTATTATTTTTCAAAGCCTTTGATCTTTATTAGTATGTTTTATCTGTTATCTCTCTCTCTCTCTCTTTAAATCTTCATTTCTCTCTCTTTCTCTCTCTCTCTCCATATATATATATATATATATATATATATATATATATATATGGAGAGAGAGAGTGGGAGAGAGACGAGAGAGAAAGAAAGGTTGATATGGAGAAATTGAGAGAGAAAACTATCGAAAAAGATCTACTAAGATGAATATGGAACGGATAACAATATAAAAATGCTCTTCTAATAAGAGAGAACTGGCGGGCCTATTTTAAAAATGGCTTTGGACAGTATTCAAACATTCATTACTCTGGCTAATAAAGTATAATTTCGCTATCCAAACTACCAAGTAGTATATATATATATATATATATATAATTAGGAGGTCAGCCGATTCGGGCTACCTGGGTTTCAACTTTTCGGTATCTTCAGGCGATTTCAGTCAATTGATTTCCTAACGATATATTTAAAAAAAAATTATGAACGCTATATTATTTCAAAATAAATAAACGCCCAATGTGAGGTGTGGTAGAAGGTCAGGAGGAGGAAGAGGATAAAAACAAGTGTATTAGAAATATATTGGGGGTGGGTAAATGAAATATACTTACTTTCCTTTCATTCCACTTTATATAAACGTGTTATACTTAAAAGCTGTACATGTTAATTTTTTATTTTTAATACGTGAATTGTGCACTTTTGAATACTACAGTTTTCTGGTCTAATTCAACTCTGATTATTAACATTTTTTTATATATATATATATATATATATATATTTCTAAATAAATTCCTGGTGAAGAGTTGCCAACTAAAAGTTTCATGTATTTTCAAACAATTGTCAGGTAGTCGGCAACCTGATGATTGTGTGAAAATGTATGAAATTTTTAGTTGTGCTTCGCCACTGTTCACTCCCTCCGTAATGTTCATTATTTATTGCGATTATTAAAATTTGCATAAAAACCGAAACATATGAAAGTGGATTTATAAATTTTCTTGAATAATAAACAATTCTTTGTACAAAAGGCTAATTATTTATTAGATTCCAATAATTTATTCCACTATTTATTCATTAGGTTATGTATTGGAATGATTGTTAAACAGCGGCTAATTACCAATTTATTTGACCTTTATAAAATGGTAAATAATAAGCATTTCCTTATAGTTGGTTCACATATTTTAATAATTTAGTAAATGTTTATAAATTTAGTGAATGTTTATAAATTTATGAATAAAAAATTGTTTTCATATTTATTATTTTAAATAATAATTATTGCTTTACATTTATTTGTTTTAGTTTCTCGAATGTTGTGATATTTTTATTTCAAATTTTCAACAAAATAATTCATAAATTGGAGCAGTCCATATTATTTTTGTGGATTATTTAAAATTGTATTTAAAATCAACATAAATAAATGTAAAAAAAATGGTTAAAAGCACACATCGACATAACTTACATACTTCAAGCTACAAAGTTAGAAATATATGTTAAATATAAATATACACATGTTGTAATTATACAAATATTACACATAAATATCATGGCACATCAGCATCATTTATTTTCTTTTCAACACCATCACTTGATAAGACACAGTGTGTTGAAACAAAATGGCTATTTTTTGTATGATTTTATAACATACTTATGTTATAAATTTTTATAAAATATATATATATATATATATATATGTGTGTGTGTGTGTGTGTGTGTGTGTGTGTGGTTACATAGGAATATACTACTAGATTACGTTTGTATCTATTTACACATCACCATGTTCGATATAATGTTCACATGCAAAAATTATCATATATATATATATATATATATATATATATATATATATATATATATATATATATAGGATACGATGGATAAATTGTCGTCTAAATTATGCAAAAATGAAAATAACACTGACATCTCATTTTAACAGATATATTTACCAAAATTACACAAAAATATCTTTAAATAAAGAGTAAATTTTTTCAATAAATCGCCATTGGCCACGGCCTCCAGACGACTTCGGAATCTCCTGTAACTCATCCTTGTTTAAGTTGGTGAATGCTGCAATAATCCTTGCCTACAGGTTATCTTTGGTGTTATAAAGTTTTTTGGTCTCTCACTCAACTGCATCGCACACATAATAATCAAGGGGGTGTAGTCTGGGGAGTTAGGTGGTGAGATGCCAGGGGTGATATGGTCGCAGAACTTGTCTGGCAGTCAGGACTGGGTTCTCCTGTTTGTGTGTCATGGCGCAGAGTCCTGATGCCAGAGATAGGGTCTCCAGCAGCCACTCCTTTTAACCCAGAGTAGCACTACCCACTCAAGGCACATGATGTAGGCATCCGTGTTGAGTGAGGCTCTGTGGGAAGATGAATAGAGGCAAACACTCTGAAGTGTTATCCCCTCTTTCTCTCTTTTTTGTTTCTTTCTTCTCTCTTTGTCTCTCTCTATTTGCCTTTCGCTTTCCATCGTTATATCTCTCTTTCGTTCTTCTTATAATTCTCTGTTTCTTCCTTTTTCTCTCTCTTTTCTCCTCTTTCTCTTTCACTCTTTCTGTTGTATTCTCTTTCTCTCGTTATCTTTCTCATTGTCTCTTATTATACCACGCTTTCACTTTCTTTCTTTTGCTCTTTCTCCCTCTCTTTCACTCTTTCTTACCTAACGTCTTTACTTTTACCTATCTTTGTTTATTTCTGATTTTCTTTCTTTCACTATCTTTGTCTTGTTATGCTATTCCCTCTCAATTTCTCCTTTTTATTTCTTATTCTCTCAATCTCTCATCACTTCTCTCTTTTTATCTCTCTCTCTCTCTCTATCAATATCTCCCTCTCTCTCTCTCTCTCTCTCTCTCTCTCTCTCTTTCACTCTGTTTAGGATCAGACATTCCCACTAAATATAAGCACTTAAAGTCTTCTCCGCTACCAATCGGCCCTCCCCATCCACCGATATCTCACCGGTTAGTCCGACATCCCGTTGGACACGAGCCAACTCCAGATAATCTGTCTGATACATTGTCACACACATATAACGACTGGACAACGTTTGATTGTTGGACATGGAATATTAATTGTGGTCGGGATTTTCACCTTCGCTATTCGTTCACGATTGCCACCCCTGCATCGCCTCCTTTTCCTATTTCCTTTGTAGCGCCCCTCATCTCCTTAGTCGTCCTCCACATTCTCTCTCTAACCCCAGCTGTCCCAGCTCCTTCTACTTCAAGGGATACCCAATGGCGAGAAACTGGGATTTGGCACAGGGCACTTGTGTCGAACGGAAGTGGGTGATTACTGAAGCCATTACTATAACTGAAAGGAGAGATGTTCATCTTCAATAGAAATACACACATTCACGCACGCACATGAATGGCTACATAGAAAAAAATGAAACACACATGTAAATACAAAACTACAGATAAAAACACGCAAGTATTTACATGCTGATACCCAGTTTAGTATAACAGAATTTATCTATATACATCAAAATATGCAAATAGAAAGTACACATGTATATAGCACGGTGAAGCGAAATGTCTGAAATTTCTAATGTATAATGTTCGAACGATGAAATTAATATGAATATTTATTGAATAAAATGTATTGAGGACTAAAGAAACTGGATGAAAAATAAATATTTGGGTAAAATCAATTTTTTGGGGGGTGGAGGGGAGGGGTGGCATTAGCCTGCTGATTTAGTGATGTACCTGGGTAATGTAGGTTTTGAATGTGTTTTCTATGCTTTTTTTTCTTTAGGCAAATATTGGGGGCTGTAGATTCTTAATGCTCTCAGACAGAAACCTATAATAATTCCAGATTTAATTTTAGAAGAGTGGTTTGAGTAGAAACTGATCAGGTCATTATGTTTGTAGCCTTTTTGTAAACGTCAAAATTGAGTTCGTTATGGTTTCTGTGTAACATGATATCTAGGAAGGCAAGAGTGTAGTTGGTTTCAGTTTCAAAAGTGAAGTCTATTGTGGGTTCAACGTTGTTAAGTTGGTTGAGAAGATCTGTTAAATTAGTATTTTGGGGATATATTAATTTCCCAATATCACCTTTCCTAACAGAATTACTACTCTCCCAAACTAATGTGCACAACTATATCAAGAAATCAAGAAAATGGCTGAATCCGTCAACACAACAATAAAAACAATATTTCTACACGTGAAAGTAACGTAAAGTTGACAATATGAATACAATAGCGTTTTCTAAAAGTTGCTAAGGACATTTTGTTTGTTGTTAATAGTTACTCTGTTTTCAATAAATTCATTTCGTTTTTGCCTTGAAAAAGTCCACATTAGACGAAACGCGTCGGCTAATAATACAGAGATAGTTTGATGAATTTTTATTTAGATTTTCTAATATTCTTATTTTTCCGTTTGGTGTGGACAAGGCAGCGTAAAAATTGTTCGTAACGTCACACGCGCTTTGTGCCACTTTTTTGCCAAATCGTGTAAAAGCTTTTCCTCTCACCATTGCTCATTTTGGAAGACAGTGGGACTAACACAAAACGATTTTAACCTGTTCTCTTCCTAACTGAATAACTCAAAGGGTTTTTCAGTGATTCTTACGACAAGTAGTGTCAAGATGGCTAAATATCTTATCGAAAAACGTAGAAAAAAGAAACACAATTAGTTTTGTGGTTTTTGAGATATCAATTCTAGAAGAGTAACCATCAGAATGTAGAAAGCATTAGATCGATTCTCAGTAGTGGATGCAAGCAACGATTGTTGAGGCGCAAATATAGGACGAAACGGGTGACCAGTGCTTTCTGCATTCTGTTGAAATTCTTCTTCTAGACTCGATGAATTATTTAATTACGATATATATATATATATATATATATATATGATAAAATATAGTTTTAAGGTATGCTATATTGATGGGTTAAAGTGCTCAATATTAGGGATAAAGCGTATGTAAATAGAAGTTGATATTGAATTCAACACCCAGAAGGACAGTCTTTTATGATTAAACGTAATCGACTGGTCATATATATATATATATATATATATATATATACAATTATATATATGTATACAATTATATGTTAAATTATATATATATATATATATATATATATATATATATATATATATATATATATATATATATAAAATTATGTAAGCAAATATATGGATATAAATCCGACAGTATGAAAGAAAAATACAGAAAAACAAAATTCTGTGCATTATTAATGTTAAAATAAAGTCGACGTCGGACGTTTCGGTCTATTTAAGACCATCTTCATGGACATTTTCATTTAAACATAATTAATTCAAACAGATAACATACTTATCTGTTTGAATTAGTTGAAGGCTCTTATGTCCATCGTCTTTTGTGTTAAATTGTTATAAGTTATAATGTTAATTATGTTTAAATTGTCCATGAAGATGGTCTTAAATGACCGAAACGTCCGACGTCGACTTTATTTTAACATTAATAATATTTTATATATATATATATATATATATATATATATATATATAATGCCTTAACGAAAATACATATCAGAGCATCTTGGTACCAATGCAACAAGTGAGAAATTGCTCGCAGGAAATATGGTTTTAAAGTGAAGGTCAACCAGTGGACTAACAAGTCAGCAGGTGCGTTTTCAGCGACAAGGAAGACCAACAATAAATTACAGGGTGTATCAAAAATACTTTTATAAACTTTGGGGTGGGTTCCTCAAACAAGGATAGAAAAAAGTATGTTTAAAAGTCCATCGTTGTAACCCAACACAGCAACACATAACAAATGTTCAAAATATCCTCGGCTTGCTTCTAAACACACATACACCCGTCGGATCATTGACTGGCATACCCATTCAAATACTCCCCTGCTATCGAATGGTTTCGCAGGCCCCCATGACACGTTGATTAAGCGTCTCTGCATTATTAATGTCTGCTGCATAAACCAATGTTTTAGGTGACCCCAACTGATACAAATCCAAAGGATTGAGTCCCGGGAACGTGCATGCCATGTTACAGGTCTTCCCCTACCCATCCACCTTTCATGGTAGATGTCATTCAGTGCATCGGCGAACAATGTGACTAAAATGTGCTGGAGCTCCATCATGCATGAGCCACTCTCTAGCAGTACTGGAAGTGTGTTCGAAATAAAATTCCTATAGACTTGCTGGGAGAACATATGGACATACCAGACAGTCACCTACAATTCCAGCCCACGCATTTGTGCAATAAACCATCAAAGGCAGGTCACACATGTTTTGTTTGTTTGGGATTTTTTTTTAGGGGGGGTGTTTTTTACCACTAAGCTGCGAGAAATCATTACATTAAAGCCAGAGATTCAATTATACTATTTAAGAGAAGTACACCTCTGGCATGGGTTGGAAGTAGTTTCCAAAATTTTAAACGGGGTAATGTTTCAATTCCTTTCGGCGGCATATTTTATTTAATACGACTTGCGATCTCTAGGCCAGTAGATATAAATTCAGAGATGTCTATTCAAACGTATGCACTCACTAAATATTACGTTTATACTATATTTTACTAAATATACAGATAACATAAAATATTTCACACTACGCGAAATATTGTGATTTTTTTCTTTAAACAATAAGGAACCATCACGTTTTAATTGATATTACTCAAAATGTCTGGCTTATCGCCACATAACGTTGAAATGTTGGTTCCCGTACGATTACCGAAGTTAAGCAGCGTCGATCTTGGTCAGTACCTAGATGGGTGACCGCTTGGGAATGTGCGTGTGATAATGGATAATGGCTAGGAATTGTTAATCGGTGAACCAAATTCCAATTCCTTATATTTGACATGCTTACATTACGAATCCACCTCTTCTCCCCCAACTATGGGTTAATTAGTAAGACTTGTATCACTAAACCATTCTTATCTCTAAAAAATTCTTAGATCTAAATATACTTTTTGGCTTTAAATAACCCGAAAAGGGTTCATCGTCCATAGAAAACGAATCAAACAAAATGCCTGATTGTATTACCTAAGTATTACCTCTATGCTAGAGGTAATACTTAAATTGTTTTGAGGGTACCCACCAGCCAGGGAGGGCCATCTAAAACATTGATTTCAAACTTTCCCAAGGAAGATTGTGTCTATATTAGAAGAAAGAGTGCATCTCCCTGCTTTGTAAATTAATATATCTTGCTCTCTTAGTTCGGCGCAAAGGTCGAACACTTGTAACTGCGGGAAATAATTAACACTTTCAGACATGAGATGCCAAGAAATCCAATCTTTTGAATGGGAAAATATAAATTCACAAATCACAATTTCTAATTTGAGAAAACCATGAAAAAGAATTACATTCAATTTTAGAAATATTTTCTTTGCTGATGTATTTTATGATGGCAAGAATAAATAAATTATGTTTGTGAAGCCATGGTAGTTAATATGAATAGATTCTAGTGGCATGTATCAATTTTCAGAGTTAATCACCCTAATTGCGTAAAAGAATATCATGCAATCTATAATAGCAATGGTAATACATTTCGGTACACATACATTAGTGTGTGCGAATAAATATTCGAATAGGACAAAAAATCTAACATGGTTTAATCACGTCAATATTTCATTAAATTATATAGAAACAATATGGGATGATTGGGATGATGATGATGATGATGATGATGATGATGATGATGATGATGTAAATAATGAATGGAATAAAGCATTTTGAGTAAGATAAGAATACACATATTTATGCATATAAGGATATACTTCCACTTTATTATGTTATCGCTTGACCTTTGACTACTTATAATTTGGTATGTTCAAATTTTATTCTAAATGGTTTATAGTATATTGTATGATTTGCTATTGTAAATCTAGTTATTCCACTATTCTACTTATTTCCAGAAGTCTGAAATTCTTGCAGATAAAGCGACTTCTTATATACTATTTCAAATTGGAGCTCAGTAGCTGAAAGATTATCAGGAATAGGATCAAGAACAATTGGGTGATTGCTGGTGATATTTTTATAAGATAGAAAATTGGAGCCCAATACTACAGGATCAAGAATAATTGGTTAATTGATGAAATCATTTAAGATTTAGAATTGGAGCTCAGTACAGCTTACACGTTATCAGGAGTAGGATCGAGAATAAGTGGATGAATGATGGGGCCATTTTATAAGATTTGGAATTGGAGCCTAGTATAGCTGAAACATTATCAGCATCAGGATCAAAAATAGTTGGGTGAATGATAGAGACATTTTATACGATTTGAAATTGGAACCCATTACAGTTGAATCATTGCTAGGGATAGGATCAGGAATAATTGGGTGATTGGTGGAGCAATTTTATAATATTTGAAATTGGAGCCCAGTACAACTAAAGCGTTATCAGGAATAGCATTAACAATAATTGGGTGATTGCTAGAACTATGTTAAAAGATTTTGAATTGTAGCTTAGTACAGCTGAAACATTATCAGGAATAGCATCAAGAATAAGTGGGTGATTGTTGGAGCCATTTTATAAGATTAGGAATTGGAGAACAGTACAGGTATAACATTATCAGGAATAGATTCAAAGGAGGATGCTTAATTGTTGAAGCCATTTAATATAATTTTAAATTGGTGTCCTGTACAGCTGAAACATTATCAAGAATAGGTTCAAGAATAAACCAGTGTTTTCTGAGGCCATTTTATAAAATTGAAAATTGGTACCCAGTACATATGAAACATTATCAGGAATAGATTCAAGTGGGTGTTAACTGAAGCCATTTTTACAACCGAAAAGTGAGATCTTTATCTAAATTAAAAGTACACCCACATGCAAACATAAGAGTACTGAAGCAGTAATGTTAATATTCAAATAAACATTAAAGTATTCAAGTACATACTTACTGGATAGATTATTTACATAGAATGTAGGCATATGCACAAAATGTATATGCACACACGCGCATACGCATGATATACATACACACGCGTAAATGTATGCAGGTAAGACTACCTACACATATGACTTGATTACAGTGGAAAAGGGTTGTGCAGATCAAAACAAGCCTTTTTGAAACAGCCGAATACATAGAACTGGTGCATACCATGCCACAAGACCTCCAAACGATATTTTCCAGGTTTTGAATTCTGATTTTTTCTTCTCCTAGACTGGTTCCCACCCTAGGATATAGGAGCCAAATTGTCGTTATTTGGCCGCAGGTGGGAGAAAAGAGATTCATTGACTATTTTCAAGGCTATTTGCTAATAATTGAATATAACGAAGCTCGAGTAGAATTCGAACTCTTCGATACCCCAATCCGAAGCGCTACACATGACTACACAGAGCGTTCATTCCATATATATATATATATATATATATATATATATATATATATATATATATATATATATATATATATATATATATATATATATCGGCTGTATTTGGGTACTAAATGTCTATTCATACAAATTGCATCAAAGATCAACGATATTTCATTGTTAAAGATATTTTAATTATTTTTATTTCGGCCCATTTTCTTGTTTTCCCGTACATATTTAAATATAAATTGTCCAATTTCTGAATACTTTTGGCTTTCAAATGCCATTATCGAAGAGTTTTTCTTTTTGTTTTGTTTTTTTCGTCATTGTGAAATACCACGTTCTTTTTTTATTTATAGTCTGCATGCACAAACTGAAAAATATATAAACCAAATATTAATTAATGATAATTTTCTAATATAAATAACAAAGAAATTAATCTAAACAGACAATAATCATGAAAAGAAATAAACCCCATTAAATTATTCTAAAATATCCAACTACAAATTGGACGAAAATATAAAAAAATCATCGTATATATATATATATATATATATATATATATATATATATATATATAAGTGTGCGTGTGTGTGCATAATGAAAATATAATTTTATGGTAAGCTTTATTTATGGGTAAAAGTGCACAATATCAGATATAGAGCGTATGTAATATAGTGTCGTTACAACGCATAATGCATTATTAAACAGCATGTATAAATAGTCTACCCAAAATACAATACACATGTCTTAAATATTGTGTTTAAGCATGAAACAGACTGGCCCTGCTTGTCGTAGATCTCAGTGTCAGTGTTTCTGTAAAATGCGCAGATAAAATTCCATTATACTTATTCAAGTGTATCTGAGTGAGATGTAAAGAGAAAAAAGATAGAAGAAAAATCCATTAATGAAAGAATAAATAAAAATAAGGATGAATTTTGGAATCAGGTAAAAGAATCCCTAAGTCAATAAAATATTCAGAGAGATTGAGTTAGAAGAAGTTTTGAAAGTGCACGTAAAAAGAAAAGAATCCTAAAAAATTTCCCTGATGACATTGTCCACACCCGATTACGTAGAAGTCTCTTCACAGGAAGTGGTCTGCGTGCATCGTTGCAGATACTGACCACCATTATATGACCAAGATGTCTCCTAACACACTCCTGAGACACACACGAAAACGCAGAGAGACAAACACATTTCGTTCTTTTTGAAACTCCTCAAGAAACTAAATACCAACTTTAATAATAATCATGGTATCGTTAATAAGGAAGCGATTTTTCCACCAAAATTCACACGTTTTTGCTGTAGACAACTCTGAATAGAAACACGAAACAAGAATGTTCGTCTATTGTAGTTACAGTCCTTAACTCAATTTTTCCCCTGCTCTAAGGGCAAGAATTTTGTCCGTGACCTCGTTAACATCTCTTGGAATTTTGGGAAAATTCGACTAAGTGACAGCTCTGTAGTTGCTGCGTCACTCTGATGTCTATGAAATTACATGCTTCAATTCCTGATTCTTAAAGGAACTCAACATCTTCGAACGCTTGACGACGAACAAAAGACAGAAAAATGCCCTTTTTCTTTTATATGACATGTTTCAGCAGGACATCGGCGATTATTGCTCTCCACACCTTCCTGTCTTTTTTGCTCTATGATACTTTCGACCACCCCACTTTGTCCTTGTTCTACCATCCATTTAGACAAAAGTCGTTAAGCAGGTTCCTCTCTTTTTCTCTTTCCATCAATATGGCATCTCAATCTTAGAGCCTCCGAGCTTTCTTTCCTCATTTTGTCCTAGAAATTTCAACTCTCTCTCTCTCTCTTTCTAATTATAGGGCATAATTTCCCTTGTAGTTTCTTTATTTTTCTTAAAATTTCCTTTTTACACTTGATATTCTCAACATTCATCAATTGAACCACACCTCATTCTTTCAAGTCTATTTTTGACATTCCGTCTCCATGTTCGACCAACTTGAAAAGAACACCCACAGGTAAAACTACTGACATAATACATAGAAGAGATCGATTCTCTTTGAATGCAAACATTGTGTTTCTTGGTGTTTTACTTTTGCTTGGGGGTTCGCTATTTACCCATAGCTGGGACCCTATAAGGTGCTACCACCCTGGTTAAGAGTGGACCTGAGAACAACAGCAATTAAGAGTTGGTTTCACGCTAATCAAAACATCCAATCTTCCTATCAAATGCCTTGCTGCCGGATGTAGTTTATCATCATACCCAGGACTACCGAACCTAGGGAATTATCTGGAATACTGGTATTAGGCTATATGAGACAACCAAAGTCAGGAAAACTGTGGGTTGTTTGTTTTCGTTTAGAGTCATATCAACCTTGATATTCTCAGCATTTATCGATAAAACCACACCTCATTCTTTCAAGTCCGTTTTCGACATTCCGTCTCGATGTCCCAGTCGATCGCCTATGAACTGATCAGCATAAAATATACACCCACGTAAAA